CCACATGCCTAGAGCCCGTGCTCCACAACAAGAGAAGCTACCACAATGAGAAGCCCGCGCACCGCAGCTAGAGAAAGCCTGCGCGCAGCAAAAAAGACCCAACGCAGCCAAAAATAAATAAATATTTTTAAAATAAATAAATAAAAAGTAAACATTATAGTTATAGTTAACTTCCTTGATTCTTTCTAAGGGGGAGGTCATGGCAGCTTTGTTTTGATAAAATTATATCTCCACATGGGCTTCCCTGGTGGCGCGGTGTTTGAGAGTCTGCCTGCCGATGCAGGGGACACAGGTTCGCGTCCCGGTCCGGGAGGATCCCACATGCCGCGGAGCGGCTGGGCCCGTGAGCCATGGCCGCTGAGCCTGCGGCACGTCCGGAGCCTGTGCTCCACAACGGGAGCGGCCACGTCAGTGAGAGGCCCGCGTACGGAACAAAACAAAACAAAACAAAATTATATCTCCACATGGGTTTAGCCTTGTGCCTTGAGAGATGAGTTATTGTGCTTATTCTAGAATTTCTATCACCCAAGTCTGATTTTTTTTTTTAATGGGAGGAAAAGAGCTTTTTCTCAGCCTCTTGGGGAGAGCACCCTTTTTTATCACTTCATCATGGCTGCCCTTTTAAAGAGACTTAACACACGTTAGAGTTTCCTGGGGTGTTCTACTCCACCTAGGGAAGAAGCGGGGATTGCATTTTGCTCAGGCCTTGTGTGATGGCTCACATTAACATCCTGTGTTCACCTTCCTTATAGGATTTCTAGACCAAGTGCAATCTCCCAGCTAGAGCAGAAGGAAGAGCCATGGGTCCTACCACTCCAAAATTTTGAGACTAGGAAGATCCTGAGGGAAAGTCACACAGGTGAGATGTGTTACCCAGTGGGCAGAAATCTAGCGTTTCAGCCCTTGTTTAAATGAGGAATTTGGAATGCTGCCCTAGACTTTTGTTCTTACTATTAGAAGGTTAAATTTGACTTCCTGGGCAATCAGTCATTGACCAGATAAAGTCTTCATTTTAAGTAAACATTTCACTTTTGTCTAGACTCTAACATCTTTGAAAGGAGTTGCCCAATTTTGACAATATATGGTATACTCTTGATATGAAGGTCCCCTCAAGATTCACCTGACCATCTTAAAATAAAAAGGGATTAGGAATTCATGTTTTCTGTAAGCTCAATGATCTTCAATAAACTTTTCACAAAGTGAAAACGAGAGTAGTCAAACTAAATGTGGTCTGTTGCAAAAACACTAATTTTTATCTTTCTTGCTGCTTTCTGATGATCTTTCCTGATAAGTGATAACTTTATTCTCTGTTACTTCTGTTAATTTTTCAGACTTTAAGAATCAGGTGGTAAAACTCAATCAGGACATTTCTGAAACAGCAGAACAATGTGGAACTTCCTCAGAAAGGGCCAAGAAAGATATTTCTCATACTCCTCATTGGGGAGGAAACTGGGAGAGGGGTCTTGAATTAGAAGGGCAGCATGGAACCCTTCTAGGAAAGGGCCAGCAGGAGCCCTTTTCACAGGAGAAGGAATTAAACAAGCTCCTGGAAGGATATATAGGAAAGAAGCCGATGTGTGCAGAATGTGGAAAAAGCTTTAACCAGAGTTCCTATCTCATAAGACACCTAAGAACCCATACCGGTGAGAGGCCTTATAAATGCATGGAGTGTGGGAAAGGCTTCAAACAGAGTTCAGACCTTGTCACCCACCACAGAACGCACACGGGGGAGAAACCCTACCAATGCCATGGATGTGGGAAAAAATTCAGCGACAGCTCAACCCTCATCAAACATCAGAGAACCCACACAGGTGAGAGACCCCATGAGTGCCCAGAGTGTGGGAAGACTTTCGGACGGAAACCACACCTCATAATGCACCAAAGAACCCACACAGGAGAGAAGCCCTACACGTGCCTCGAGTGTCATAAAAGCTTCAGTCGCAGCTCCAATTTCATCACCCACCAGAGGACCCACACGGGAGTGAAGCCTTACAGGTGTAATGACTGTGGGGAGAGTTTCAGCCAGAGCTCGGATTTGATTAAGCACCAGCGAACCCACACAGGAGAACGGCCCTTTAAGTGCCCGGAGTGCGGGAAGGGCTTTAGAGACAGTTCCCATTTTGTGGCTCACATGAGCACTCACTCAGGAGAAAGGCCGTTCAGTTGTCCTTACTGCCACAAAAGTTTCAGTCAGAGCTCGCATCTGGTCACGCACCAGAGGACACACACAGGTGAGAGGCCTTTTCGGTGTGACAGCTGTGGGAAAGGATTTGCCGACAGCTCTGCCCTCATCAAGCACCAACGGATCCACACAGGAGAAAGACCCTATAAATGTGGCGAGTGTGGGAAGAGCTTCAATCAGAGCTCCCACTTCATTACCCATCAACGAATCCACTTAGGAGACAGACCCTATCGCTGTCCTGAGTGTGCCAAAACCTTCAATCAGCGTTCCCATTTTCTCACACACCAGAGAACACATACGGGAGAAAAACCGTTTCACTGTAGTAAATGTGACAAGAGCTTCCGACAGAAGGCACACCTTTTATGCCATCAGAACACCCATTTGATCTAGGAGATAGTCTTTAATGGTTCTTCTCCTCCCTTTCAAATTTCCATTGCTATTATCTTTAAGCGCTCCAAATAGAGAAAACCTGAAACTGGGTGTCGGCGGCTCAAGTCGGGCCCTGATCTGTTCTCTTTTTCCGTGCTTTAATGGTGAGGATAAACCTACAGGGTCCAAATAATGTTCTAAACACAAAAGGCATTCCTTCAGTGTTTTTGACTGACTCTTGGACAGAAAAATGTGAGTTTAATGCTTGATGCCTGGTTACTAAAAGAGAAGTGAGATAAATGTAGTCACATTCTCATCGTTAATGATTCATATTTGATATCTTATACAAAGCCCTTGATACAATGCCTGGCCTTTAAAAGACACTCAGTACAGGGTTGGTTGCTTTCATCAGCCTTATTACTCAATGAGGAATTTATTATTGCAGCCCCACAAGCCCAGAACTTGCAAGAAATTAGACTGGAACTAGAAGATTCGGGGTGTGAACACATAGATTTAATAAAACAGAAAACACTTTCCTAATCCAGTGCTATGCAGTCACCAGATGTCTCATTGCCATGACAAGGCAGAATTATCATAGAGGATGTCTGCAGTCTTGTGACTTGGAGACTAGAAGAATTTTAGAAGCTCTTTGTACAGCAGTGTATGAGGTACTCCCCCTGGAAGTTTGCTGCCATCTGAGGCATAGAAAATATCCTGTGATGAACAGTCCAGAGGAACCTGGATGAGGACTGTAAAATTCTGGAAGCAAAGTTGCTGAGAATGTTAAATGATATTGCAGGGATCCTTCCTGGCATTTAGCTGAAGGATGTAACCCTTGTTTTGTAATTTGCTGGGTCACTGGCCCTTTAGTTGTAAGTTAAGGCAAGTCTCTGATCCTTTTAGGGTCATTCATTTTATGCACTAGTATAGTCCTCTATTTAATTGAAGAAATGGAGGGAAGGCAGTGTGTTGGAAGGCACACCAACTTCGTTGAAAAGGTGAGGTGTTTGTGTCTTGGCCCCTTGACACTTAATTTGGCCAGACTTTCCCCTTCTCTCAGGCCCTACCTTACTTACCTCACAAGGTTACTGTGAGGATCTGATACATATACACGCACGTGCACACACACGCAAGCACTTTGTTGTTAAACTATAAAGTGTAATACCTGTAAAGTTTAATGTTACGGTATTGTTGCCAGTGTCTTTTCTTCCAAGGAGCTGTGGCTAATGTTTCCGAAGGTGTCCCACTTTCTCTCATATTGAGGGACTTCTTTTTTTACCTATTGAAAACCTAAGGCCTTCAAATGCTCAACTCATTATGTGACTCATTACGGGTCACGTGATGAACTAACGGAAGAGCCAGGATATCTCTGCAGGTCTCCTCTTCAACAACATGGAACAGACCAGCTCTAGGATTTGTTAGAGTGTCTCTGAGACACCACAGGCCTGGAGGACCCATATTATATCCATCAAACCACTCTGAATTTGGAAATGATGGAGGGATGTAGCCTACATGCCCGAGAGCTTTATAGGGTCCTGTGCTGGGGTCCTCGATCCTCATGGCAGATATAAGTGGTTAAGGAGGGAGTTGGGTGTTGAACACTCCAGAGAGAAGAGTGGGGGACTGAAGGTGTTTTCTTTCAAGCTTTCCTGTGTCAATACAGACTAAATTAATACATCAGCCTTGGAACACTAGTTCTCTTCCATTATATGGAGTACCACCTGAGTGCTGTAACTCATGTGGGGATAGAACTCAGCTGATAACCTAAACTCTTTCTTTAATAGGTAATTATCAGAAAAAAAAAAAATCTGGGGCTTCCCTGGTGGCGCAGTGGTTGGGAGTCCGCCTGCCGATGCAGGGGACGCGGGTTTGTGCCCTGGTCCGGGAAGATCCCACATGCCGCGGAGTGGCTGGGCCCGTGAGCCATGGTCACTGGGCCTGTGCGTCCGGAGCCTGTGCTCCTCAGCGGGAGAGGCCACAACAGTGAGAGGCCCGCGTACCGCAAAAAAAAAAAAAAAAAAAAAAAATCTGGTTAATCCAGAGATGTAAATTCTTAAAATGTGAGCCCAGACCAGTAGCATTATCATCACCTGGGAACTTGTTAGAAATGCAAATTCTAAGTCCCCACCCCAGACCTACTGAACTGGAAACTCTAGGGGTGGGGTCCAGCAATATGTGGCTTAATAAGCCCTCCAGGTGATTATAATGCATACCCAAGGTTGAGAACCACTGCTTTAAAAGGTAGCTCTTCTACTAAATGTAGACACAGTACTATTATTGCTCCTACCAAAAATGAACAGTGATTTTGTAATCATCAAATACTCCAGTCAATTTTCACGTTTCCCTAATTATCTTGTGTTTTTTGTTTTTATTTATTTATTTATTGTTTTGGCCTTGCTGCATGGTTTGCGGGATCTCAGTTCCCCGACCAGGAATTGAACCTGGGCCGCTGCAGCGAAAGTGCCGAGTCCTAACCACTGGACCGCCAGGGAATTCCCTGTTTTTATTTTTTAGAGACCAAATAAGGTCTCTACATTCAATTGGTTGATATATTCCTCACAAAATCCTCCCTCTTCTCTCTCTCTCTCACTTTTTCTTGTATTTCATTTGTTGAAAAAAAACCTTGTCCTTTAACTGTCTCCCACAGGTCTGTATTTGGCTAATTCCATCCTATGGGGGTCCTTTAACATGTTCCTCTATCCTCTGCTTTCCTAATATTGGTAGTTGGATCTGTAAACATGATCAGGTTCAGATTGGGGAGAGGGGGGGCAAGAATACTCCATAGTGATCTTATGTAACTTCTATCAAGAGGTACCTGGCGTTTTGTTTTTGTTTTCGTTTTTCTGTCTCTTTTCTTGTAATGTTAGCAGCCATCGATAAGCCCTGATTTCACTTCGGTTTGCCAAATGATGATATTTTAAATCCGTCGCTCCTTCTTCATTTATTAGTTGAAATACTTCTATAAAGAGAACTACCCCTAATCAACTATTTGGTTTTTCCCTGAGGTACAGTTTGTATAGGAACAGCACAACAGCTGCTTGATTAGGACTCCTTTGATTTTTTTTTTTTAATATCACTATATAAATTTTGGCCTCCATGCCTTAGATTTCGGAGTCCCTTCCAGTGAGAGACTCTTCTCTGACAGGACATTTATACATGCATACAACTCAGAATAACTTTTCTCATGGCCTTTGATGTTTTTCTCCTGCCTACCCCTCTCCAGTTTGTCTAGGTTCGCCAGAAAGCATTGTGCTGAAGAGCTCACTAAATACTTGAGTGATTCCTCAGGGATGGACTTGCTAAGTTGCCAATTAATATTTCCCGATACTATCCAGGCCTGAAAACAGGAGAGGAAATTACATTCCCATTAGCTGGGAATGGTTTTACATCCCTTTCATGGTAATATGAGAGTATACCATCTTCATTTATCTTATCTACCCAAGCATTGTTCTAAATCAAATATGATCAGTATGTTAAATAATAACAGCAATAAGGTATAACAATCAGATCAGAAGGTAAGGAAAAAAACTGGCAGGCAGAGGTACGGGGTAATTCATGTGAAATCCAGGGGTACCATCTCTCCAGGGGAGGAAGTGTTTCGGCCTGGGGCGGGGGTACAACAGGGAATGAGAAAGTTCGGACATTCTGAGAATCTGGCACTGGATTAATGTGAAATGTCCTAGAAGAGTGTCCTGCAAGAAGGAGTCAGTTAGAGGACATGGAGGGACACAAAAGCTGCATTATTAGCACAAGCAGGCATAACCCTCACCCCAGCTAGGAATGTGATGTGTGCTCATGGTCTGTGAGCAACCCTAGATTTAGGAGGCAGGGTGTGGAAGCAGCACAGAACCAAGGGTCTGAAGAGCCAGCCTCTGGTTTTGGTGAGGTTATTTACTAGCCATCTGGTTTTGGACAGGTCAGTTGATCATTCTAGGCTTCAGTCTATCTGAGAAATCAGAAAAAACATCTTTGTCTCTAACACTTTACAAATTTGGGGCTCTCACAGACCCTAGGATCGTCCACGTCGAGAGCAAGCGCTTCCACACGGACACCTTCAAGCTCTGAGGGGATAAAAGCAGGTCATCGATAGCCTGGCTCCCTCTCTCTCTCCCACTCCTCGGCCCTCCCCAGGCTCCGGCCCCTCCTATGCAGACTTCCTAGTAGTATTTAACAGACAGCTCACTGGCTTATAACATAAATAGTCTTTTTCTTTCACCCTGTTTCTCATATTGTACAGATGTGTCTACCTTATAAGATGTGAGCTCTTGAGGGGCGATGCATGACTTGCTTTGCGGCTCTGCTACCTGCCCCCTACCCCGCGCCCCCCAGCCATGAGCAGGGAATACTTAAATGATATTGGCGAGAGTCAAGATGACTGACTTTTCATAGTTCCCTTTGTTTCTACCCTATGACTGGGCTTCTTGCACATTCTCCACACCTCCTCTCTCCCTCACTTCAGAATCCACGTCATCACCAAGCCCTATCAGCTTTACCTCCCAGATTCCTCTCAACCCCATCTGTCAGCCGTCCCATCTCCACCACTAAGCTCTTGTCCCAGGGGACCACCATCTCTCGTCTGAATTCCTGCAGTGGCCTCCCAACTGACGTCGCAGGTTTGATTTGATTTTATATTTTTGTTTTTATGTATGTATGTATTATTTATTTATTTATTTTGCGATACGCAGACCTCTCACTGTTGTGGCCTCTCCCGTTGCGGAGCACAGGCTCCGGACGTGCAGGCTCAGCAGCCATGGCTCACGGGCCCAGCCACTCCGCGGCATGTGGGATCTTCCCGGACCGGGGCACGAACCTGTGTCCCCTGCATCGGCAGGCAGACTCTCAACCACTGCGCCACCAGGGAAGCCCTTATCCTCTTTTATTTTCATCAAAGGCTTTACACCTTCCTGATCTTTTCTTGTTTACTTATTTGTTTTGGTAAACTTCACTGGGGGGAGGGAGCCATTTCTCCTATTTGCCATTCTTTCCCTGGCACCTAAAACAGTGCCTGCTATGTAGTAGGTGCTCAGTAAATGTTCATTGGATGAATTAATGAAGGCGTGCTCACAGGCAAGGAACTTGTGCTAGAAAAGCAGCAGTGTGAGACAAAGCGGGACAGGTGAGTGAGGGTCACACCAAGAAGGCTCTTAGTTGCCAAACTGAGTTTGGATATTATTCTCTGGGGAATGGAGTGTCTGTCATTGATGGTTTTCCAGTAGAGGAGAAGCATGGTCAGCATTTGAGGAAGTTTGATTTGGCAGCCATGTGTAAGTCATATTCAAGAGAGAAAAATTAAAGACGTTGCTTCAATCCATGACATAAAGAGCTTAGTGTCTGACCCATAGTGAGTCTCCAATAAATGAATGTTATCACCAAGCACTGTGGCAGGCACTGGGAGATACAGAACAAAAAGGCAAGATCAATAAACCTTTCTACCTCAAAAGAATTCTTCCTAAACCCTAGTGTCACATTCCTTCCCTCCCCTTTTTGTCAAACTTCCATTAATATTAATATATATTATATTCTCAGGGCTGTCATGTCTAGGTTCTTTTAATCAGGCTTCCCACCTCCAGCGTGCCTCTGGCTTGGATTTCACTTTCCCCGTTTCCTGTATTTTGCTGGTGCCAAGTCACGTAGCTTCTGCCTCCACACTGCCCCCACCCCCTTAATTGTAAAAGCACCACGTGCTTTCTGTAAAAATTTCCAAAAAATACAGAAGCGCCCAAAGTAAAAAAATGGAAATGCCTTGTCTTTTCCTCATTCCTTCCCACAACCTCACTCCCCGGATTTCAACTCTGTGATAATCTGGCATCCCAAATCTTGTTCCTAGCTCCTCTTTTCCATCTGCACTCCAGTATCTGAACTAAAGGCATGGTTTTTCCACCTCTTCTCTTTGATTTTTCCCTTCAGTTCAGCTTGAAAAACATTTATTGAGTGCTATGTACCAAGTCCTACACCAGACACTGGAAGTACAAAGACAAAACAGTGAAAGAGGTCCACATTTAAAAAGCTGTTGTACTTGGGCAAGTTACTTACTCTCTTTGACACTTACTTCCTTATCTGTAAAATGAGGATAAGCTCAGTACCTTCTTTATGGGGTTGGATGAGGATTAATGAGATGATACATAGAAAACTCTTTGCATAGTACCTGGTACATTGTATCTGCTCTATAAATGTCAATGACAACAATGATAATGATGATAATCTTTGCCTTGGAGGAGTTTATAGGTTAATGAGGAAACTTGAAGAATAAGAATTACCTAGGTGAAGAAAGATGGGAAAATATTTTTGGAAAAGCAGGGACAAGCAGTTTAAATGAAATTAAAAGGTAAATTTAGAGAGCTGGAAGAATAAAAAGTAACAGCTTGGACTTATCCTCTAAGAATATTTCTCAAAACTACCTGCATTAGTCCTACTCGGGGGTGCTTGTTTAAAATGCAGATTTAGTGGCCCCACCTCCAGCAAATTTGGTAGATTCACACAGTGGAAATGTTGAATACATCAGGACAAATGAACAAGCTACAGTTATAAGCATTAACACAGATACACCTCAATAACACAATATTAAGCACAAAAAATAAGACACAGAAAATACATACAGTAAATGTCAAAATACAACAAAGACTAAAACAGGCAAAACCAAATATTATATTGCTTAAGTAATAAGGACACACAAACTGTAATGAAAAGAAAAGGATTTATTAATATAAAATTCAGGGTAGAGGTTAACTAGAATGGGGAAGAAGATGCTAAGTTTCTATTTCTTAAGCTGGGTGCTGAGCACAGAGTTTCTTTTTATTATAATTCTTTAATATACATTATTTATATACTTTTTATTTACAAGATATTTCACAAGAAAAAAGCAAATAGGAAAACAGAATAGTCTTCCAGAGACTGACCTTTTCCACTTTTTAAAAAAAAAAAAAAATTTATTTATTTATTTGGCTGCGCCAGGTCTTAATTGCCGTGTGCGGCCCTGCGAGATCTTTAGTTGCGGCACGTGGGATCTAGTTCCCTGACCAGGGATTGAACCTGGACCCCCTGCATTGGGAGCACAGAGTCGCAACCACTGGACCACCAGGGAAGTCCCTGACCTTTTCCACTTAAACCTCATAGAGTTGAGTTACAGTAAGAAAGAAGAGAGAAAAAAATAAAAAAAGACCATCCAAAATGCCTGGGTCTGAACAGACACCAGGCCAATCTCCTCCATTTTTTCTCAATCACACACTCACACTTTCTCACTTTTCCTTCAGCTAAAAAACAAACCCTCCCTTTATGTATATCAATTAGTGCAAATGACCGTTCAGAAGATTACAAGCCCACCCTCCTATAAATAGCCAACTTCATACCGCTGTCTGAATGGAGGATGCCCTGCTATATTAATAATGCTCTTGCGAACATCCTTTTTTTTTTCCTCTCAGAAAAAAATGTTTCCACATTTTAGATTATTTCCACAGGGTGTGAACATTTTACAGCTCTCGTTGCTTGCTGCCAAATCATCTTCCGAGTGAACTGTACCAATTTACAATGCTACCAGCAATAAATGACTACCAATTTCACCACACCCTCATCCTCAAAAAACATTTTTGCTAATTTAATAGACATGGTTCTTACATCTTGTTTTAATGTACATTTCTTTATCAGTGAAGTTGAACATCTTTTCCTATGTTAGCTTCTTTATTTCTTCTGTTGTTTGTCATTCTTGTATTTAGGGTATAGGATCAGAATCAAAGAACTCCACTATTTGAGGAAGTTACTTTTTTCCTGCTCCCTTCCCTTCCCCTCCCTGCTTTATTACTTTTTTACTTCATAAATTACACATGTTCATTTTAGAAATATCAGAAAATATAATTAAGCAAACAAGAAAGGTAAAATCACCTATTACCCCACCTTCCAGAGATAATCACTACTGTTTATTGTACATCCTTTTAAACTTTTTCTCTAACAAAGATATTCACAAACACATCACATAACCTTTCTGAGCCTGTTTCCCCATCTATAAAATGAGAATACTTTTCTTCAAGTTGATAATTAAATGAGCTGGTGTATGTGAAAATGATTTATATGCTGCAGGATGTTATATAAATATAAATGGAAGTTGCTGTGCTTATTCCGTAAAATACCCTTTATTCTGCTAAACAGAACGGTGACACTTTGTTCCTTGAATGTAGCCTGCCCTCTCCAGAACATGCTTCTCTCTAGAATGACTTGCTGCCTCAATTCTTCAGACTAAACAAGTATTCACTTATTTTTTTTAATTCAATATGTAAGATATACAAAAGGGGGATTCCCTGGTGGTCCAGTGGTCAGGACTCAGCACTTTCACTGTCATGGGCCAGGGTTCAATCCCTGGTCGGGGAGTTAGGTTCCCACATGCCATGTGGTGTGGACAGAAAAAAAAAAAAAGATATACAAAAGGTATAAAGAGTAGAGCAAGAGCAACCATGTACCTACCATGCAGCTTAAGAAATTTCAAAAAGGAAGGAAAGAAAGAAAAATGATTTTACACTTAAAGTTTACACCAATACACTAAAGTTTCCTGTGAACCCCTCCCCAAATATAGCCCTTCTCCAACCCATATTTCACTCTCCTGAATTTGGTATTTCTCACTCTTATGCCTTTATATTTATTTATGCTTTCTGTCTTTCTGTATATATTTGTATGGAGATATTGATATAGATCCCTAAGCAATGTATAATATTATTTTGCATAAACTTGTTTATATTGTATATGAATGAGTATCAAGGTAAGTATCCTGTACCACCCCAAATATTATGTTTGTGAGATTCATTCATGTTGGCACATATACTTAATTTCCTTGCTTTAATATTCAGTGTATAATCACAGCACAATTCATCTGTTTTCCTGATGATAGCTATTAGGTCATTTCTGGTTTTTGCTGTCACAGGTATTTCTGTGTATTTTGGTACGTCTCCTTGTGTACATAGATAGGAGTTTCTCTGGGTATACATACCTAGAAGTGAAATTCTGAAGTCACAGGGTGAGTGCATCTTTATCTAGATATTGCCAAATTATTCTCCAAAGTGGTCGTACTAATTTCCATTCTCACCAGAAGTATATAAATATTTCCATTACTATTCTTTCTTGTCAATCCTTAGTTTTGTCAGACTTTTGAATTTTTGCAATCTGATGGGTATGAAATAACATTTCATTGTGGTTTTAACATGCATTTCCCTGATTAGTAGGGAAGTTGAACAACTTTTACAGGTTTATTGGCTGTTGAGTGAATTCTATGTTCATAAAGTACCCATTCTTTAGATCCCCTTTAAAACATTCCCTCTCCAGGAAATATTTCTACATCTCCTCCATCAAGCAGATGGGTTCTCCTTTGGATCTCTATAACCCTTTCCATATCTTGGGTTTCACTCACTTTTTATTCCATCTTGTACTCTCATTTGTATACTTGTCTAAAGAGCAGAGACTATGTTTAACTCAACTTTATGACCACGTTAGTACCTAAGTACAACATTTCATAAATCTTTGTTGAATCAAATCATACTCCTTCCCAGCTTATAAAATCTTAGTCTCCTGTTGTCTATAGGGGAGAGTCGAATCTCCTTAGTATAGAATTTAAGACCCTTATGTGGGCTCTGGC